GGTCTCGGTGATGCCCACCGTATGCCAACGGTATTCCAGGACGTCATTCAGAGCCAACACTGCAGTCCTGCTTGGTCCCTCAGAAGGACTCCATGGGTAATTTGAACTCTGGGAGAAGAGCGCACCAGGCCATGTCCTACAGCTCTGGCAACTGTAGCTCTCCTACCTCAACACCAGCAGCAGCTTGGCTCCACCAGCCCAAGGCTCAGACCCCCCGGGGAGGAGGGGCACTCACCTGGCTGGTTGGCAGGAGCTCTGGATTTCCGTCACTCATCCCCACGTAGGCACTGTCACCATCAGACTAGAACAAAGACAAAAGTGTCTCTCATTAAAACGTCCCTAGAGGGAGACAGGACTTGTGCCCCGAGGAGGTAAGGGATTGTGCTGAGAGACAGCGGTGTAAGGGCTACAGAAGCAGGCATGGGAGTCCAGGATGCCTAGGGCCCCATTCCAGCAGGTCCACTGGCCCCTGTCCTATTCTATGGCCGTTGAAGGCCCCAGTCAGGACCGTCAATCACACAGAGGACAAAGACAGGCAGTGAGTGCCTTCTGCTGTTGGGGCTTTGTCTACTAACACGGCAGGCTGCCTGGTCAGGCCCTGAGCTATGCGCCTCTGCAGGTATACAAATGACTCTTCTGGCCAAAATGACAGCTAAAGCCAGAAGTTCATGTGCTGGGGAAGAGATCTGAAGTTCATTGCCTTGGAGTCACTGACAGCCTGTCCCAGAGACACCCACTCCATCTTTCTTCCTTAAGTGGCTTTGTCCCCACCTCTGTCTGCTTTTAGCCACATGGCCACAGGTGTGAGGACTGTGGTGGAAACTGATGAGGAAACACCATGTGTTAGAGAATCTGCCGCTCCTGAATTTGGGAAGAACTGCCCATCACGGGGGAACAGGTGCAGGGGAAGAAACATGAACCCCGTCAGCAGCTACTGATGCATGAGCTTCCGCTGGTGTCCCAACTTCTGAAGTCCCTCATCTGCCAAATGGGGAGAGGATGGTAGTTCTCTCTTCAAAGGACAGTTCAGAGCAGCTCTGCCACATGCCACTACCTATCAGGTTTCACTCAATTCCAGGTAGCCCCTTTTCCTGGAGAGTGGCATCATCTTAGAGTCCCGCAGAGGCAGAGGCATGTACTTTTGAGCAAATGATTGGCAGGTGGGTGCGGGGGTGGGGTGGGGGAGGTGGGAGGCTAACCAGTATGGACACTGATTGGCTGGAGCTAAATGAGGACACTCACTTCATTCCATGGTGGCTCTGAGGCATGAACTATATGCACACACATAGGGTCAGTCTCAGCATGAGGCAAGGGACGATGACCTTTCACAGTCTACAACAACCAACCATTGCTGTGGCCTGCCCTTAGAGGGGACACAAGGAGGCATAACCTTCTGAGAAAGATGGCCTCCACTGGACCAGAGACAAGAATCTGAAGGGTTATATCCGCCAAAGGCTACATGTTTATAGTTACTTCATCCTCCAAACTATAACACTCTGTATACTGTTTTGTGACTCATCTTTCTGATGGAAACACATCTTGGAATGTGATCTATATCAAAACATAATTGCTTTTGCCAGTCCCCAGATTTCCACAGTAAGAAGGCGGCATAGACAAGTAGCTGAACTTGCGGCCCAATAAACTTTCTCTCTTTTGCATTTCACCATGGCTGCATTAGTCATTGCACGAGGGTATGAGTTTCTCTCTGACTAATTTGCATGAGTACAATTGTGCAGACTCAGGATGTAGAGCTCTACACTCCCTCAGCCATGTAGATGTCTGTCCAAGCCCTTCCCTTAGAAATGTGTCTATCAACCTGCCAGGAGGCCAGCCCCACCCCCGTGGGCCCAGAGAGCCAGCCTCCCCCGCTACCACCTCCTCTCAGTGCCATAGCCTATCATTTCTATCACTTCTATCGTTCTCCAACATTGACTGTGTCTATCTACTGCTCAAACCGCATTCTCCTACCACACCCCATGTTCCCAGGGATCCAGGACTTCATGCTATGCATGGAGGAGAAGGTTAACCAGGGAGCTGAGATATTTTCTAAAACAATAGCAAATAGACTGGGTGGTGTAAGTTAGTAATACATAACAATATATAACAAGAAAACAGACTGGAAGATGTCCCCCTAAACCCTGTGTGATGGCCAGCAATTGTTAAACTCTGGCTAGAGGACAGCTAGCAGGAAGAAAAAAGTCCATCTTTTTCATATACAGTGGGCAAGTAACCAAAAAAAATGTGGTGAATGAATGGACTCTACCTGACTCTGAGTGACATGCTTTCTATGGAGGATTACAATGGTCCACCAAAGACAGCATTCTTTTCCCCCATTAAAAACCAAGGGAACACAGAGAGGGGGAACCACTCAATGGGAAAGAGACCACATAAGTGCCTTTGTTTGCTTTGCCAGGTTTCTTCCCAATCATGCTGCAAGCTCCCTGTAAGCAGAGACCAAGGCTTTTCTAGATCCTTCCATGTCATCAACATTCAACAGATGCTCGACAAGTGTGTTGGAGACTCAGGAGAGAGAAGAGTCACCCAGAGTGAGCAGGGGACTATGGATTTGGACAGGAAGCCCTCTTGGAGTTTTGCAAGAGGTTTGGGGGCAGATAAGGGGTGGGGCAGTGGACTCCTGTGAGGTCATCAGAGAATCTCACAAATGGACTCACTCGTTCATTCACACATCCATCAGTTCAAACAATGTCTAAGAAAGAGCTGTCCCATGAAGCTAGAGTGAAGCTTGCTTTGGCGTAGAGGAAGGACTTTGTTGGCAGACTGTTGCTGTAGAACCTTGGTGTGCCTCAATTTGGAGAGTCTTGGGCGCACTGCACAGTGTCCTGAAGTATGCTGGCCTTAACAGCTATGAACTGAGGCCAGGGCAGAGGGAGATCAGCTGTTTGCCCACTTTGTCAAAGCCATGTTAGGCAGAGAACTTGCATCTATGAAGTGAGGTAGATGGTCCCTAAGGGCTTGGGAGCTTCCACCTCATTGGCCTCCAGGAACAAAGACCTGAGGTTTCTCCCTTGCTCCCCTCCTCATGGAGGACTCTTCCTGGTAAAAGGTCAAGTAAGCTGAGGAAAGGGTCACAGAGCTACCCTTCCCTAGACAGAGCAGGGCCACCTTCCTCCACGTATACTCAGATGCTATGGAAAACACACGCATCTCCACCACTACCCAGGACATGCTGAGGTAAACAGAGAGTATGAGCACCCATATCTCACAAACTCAGGTTTGTGTGGATCCATGTCATGCACAACTTAGTCCCACAAGCCTTGTATCCATAAATGACACAGCCAGTGTGCACAGAGCACAAGTACAGGGCACATTATCAGACTGCGAAAACTGGCACACAATCCCCAGAACACACACCGGAAAGGAGGGGGCAGAGGTAGAAAGACACACACACCTGCAACTGTTTGCTGGAACTTACGTAAGTGTGAACGCAAACACGTATTTCGTGTTCCCAGAGAGACAGATTAAATGACGATATATGGGCAAAAATCCTGTGTACATCTCACAATTTACCCGTCCCTCCGTCAAAAGCCATTTTTCACACTACACAACCTCCTGTGTGCTTTAAAACGTGCAGAAGAAACACAGGGGGTCAACAGCCTAAGAATTGCCATGAAACGTCAGGACATCCTCTTCCCATTGCCTGGAATAGATTAATTTTCCCCATTTCATATTCTAATTATAATTCCTTTCCCACTGCCATCTTCAGCCCTCATTACAGCTGGAAGATTGTTCTGCAAAAGCCAGGCCTTCATCTTCTCTCCCCAAGAGTTTTGTCATGGAAATGAGTTTTGGAATCTGAAAGAACCCACATTTTTTTGCAAATAGCGACTGTGCAGGGATAACCCTTTCATGTCAGCCACCAGGGATAGGCTCACAGAAGCTTCTAAAGGGCCTGTCTCTCTCCACACTGTGGTCGCCTCAGGGATAGGAGGTCCAAGGCTTCTGTTCCAACAGCCACCGCCCAACCTAAGTTCGTCATGTTCCCCCCAAGGATTGTTTTTATCTTAAAAGATACCTAACAAATAAGCAGCCTAAGTGAATAATGAGGAGCCCTGATCTGATAGAGACAGAGCCTAGTTCCATCTGTCCCATCTTAGGCAAGTTCTTTACATAAAAGCCTTGGTCTCCCCATTCTTCTGACTTACAGTCTCTGATTCATGAGAGATAAAAATATATATCTCTCAACAAATACGTGTTATGAGATGGAGACACACAGTAAGTGGGAAAGAAGGAGAAAAATAATGGGCAGATTGATACAGGTACCAATGAATGAGGAATGGATGAGGGATAGGCAGATGGATCAGTAGATGCAGGGCTGATAAATGATGGATCGATTGAGGCAGGGACCGATGGATGATAGATTAATGGATGGATGGATGGATAGATGACTAGCTAGAAAAGGGATAAATGAATGAATGATGTACATATGTATATATGGATGGATGGATTGTGAATACATAGACACATAGAGGCAGAAACCAAAGAATGATGGGTAGATGGATGAATGGATTAATATATAGATGTATGGATAGTTGGATAATAGATGCATCAGTTAATTAATCAGTTAATACAAGGACCAATGAATGAATGATGGACAGGAGAATAGATGGATGAATGATGGGTTGATGGCTAGATAGGTAGATAGATGAATTATGGGTAGATAAGTGGCTAGATGGAGGATACCTAGATGGAGGGTGGATAGTATAAATTCTCACTGTTCAATAGAAATAAAATACAAGTCATAAATGTGAGCCACGTATGTACTTTACATTTTTCTAGTAGTTCTAATTTAAGAACAGGGGAAACTCATTTTAATGATGTGTTCTATTTATCCTTGTATATTTATAACATGATTTCAACGTACAATTAATGTTAATGAGATGGTTCATTAGTGAGGTGAAGGAATGAAGAGATACCTGTTCATTCATTGATCCTTGTGTGATGAATGGATGGATAGATGGGGGTGGGATTTATGGATGGAATGGTTGAGTCAAGAGGGAGAAATGGACCCCCACTCTGGCCCCAGAGGCTCTGGGGGGCTGGGAGACACCCAAGTACCCACCCCAGCATGCACCACTTCGATGAGCAAATACGTGATGAAGAGATGGGAAAGAGTATGTGGTGGAGAGATGGGAGAGAAAGAGAAGCAGAGCATTTCATGTACTGTGGGGAGAGGTGAAACTGGAGACACAGTGGTGAGGGACATGTCAGTTTGAGGAGCCTGCACAGCCACCTGAGTCCATGGTGATGTCTGGGCCTGCCTGGACTGTGGCCAAGGGCCAT